ATTTAGGAATGATGGTGCTTATGTTTAATAACAGCATGCTAATAGTTTGAAACCTAAAATCAATATTTGTTCATTTAAAATTATTTCAATTTGTTTTTAGACATGTTTGGCAGAATAAGAAACATCATGAACTTTATGACTTAAATCTGAACCTGAACTTGAACCTGACTTCGTGTGTGGATTTTTTTTCTGTCACATTTGCTCTCATTGAAAAAAAAAAAAGCTAATTTGTATTTATGTAAAACCTTAAGACTAAAAGGTCAGTCTATAACTTTTATAATACAGAAAGGAAACTATGGTAAAGTGACACTGAAAGTAAATAAATAACCCATCTTGTATTCTTTTAGTTAGTTGGTATCCACCAGGAAAGCCCAGTATGTCRGCTGTTTTGCTGTGTTGCAAATAAATAATAAATATTAAAACTTCCATAATTCTCATTTTCTCTGGTTGTCATTATCAACAAAGGTGTGGGTCAAGGAAATTTGCTCTGAAAAAGTTTGGTTTTGGCACAGAGATAAAAAAAAATGGCAACACACAAAATTGTATTGGTTCTTGTGCATTTTAACAAGCTTTTAAATGTGGCCAATTGGCAGGAAATGTGGCCCTGAAGACAATGCTGTCATTTAAAACAGTTATTTATTTTCATGTTTTAAAACGATATGCATATCATAAAGAGGAGAAACTGGTCTGGTTCCCAATACAGTTAAAAATATATGGGTCTTAAAAATATCATTGCAAAACATGAATTCAGCCTGAAGATGGTAGACGAGAAAAGATGAAAACCTCACTAAAAATGTTGTCGTTTATTTACTTCTTTAAATTTATAAGTTCATGCCTCAAATAATTCAGATTAGTTTACAAAGTTAATTCACTAATTTTACATTTTGTTCATGATTCCCCATATATTCCCTTTTGTATAGCTTTTTTGCTGTTGATTGATTTAAATTTTGCTAGCTTTTACAGAGAATTATTATGTATAAACCTTCACAAAAGCAAACTTGAACAATATATTTAAAACATTGGCATTTGTCACATTGTTGAACTGGGATGGACCATCTCATTATAAAACTGTGTTTTCTCTGTGATAAAAAAAAAATACATTTTATTGCTTCTTGTTAAACTGCTGATATGTCTCAGAAGAGTAGGTTTTCAAAATTTTTTGGCATCAATAATCAGAAGACTCATTGGTGGGTTTAGTTATTAGATGGATATTGTCTGATCTACTTAGGTATTTAAAAGGTATTAAAGTAATAAATACTAGTCCAATGAAGCACTTAAAGACTTTGATTTAGTCTGTCATATAATCCAAAATCAAGAGCTGGACTGAGAGCGAACATGTGACAGAGTTAAATCCCAGAGAAAATTTCTCCATAGGATGAAATCTGATTAACAAAGAATGGGAAAGAGAAGGAAAAATGGAGTCCAATTGTTGTTAGTTTTAACCCTTTAAATGCTGTCTTGTCCTCACGTTGAAGCATGTTCCTGTTGCAGTGAGATCTGTGCTGATACTCTGATGAAACATGATACCAAACTTTGTTTATTTCAGCAGGGAGAAGTGGATGATATGTGAAGGTTTCCTAGCATCATCGTCTTGCAGCAATGGCCTGAGGGACTCTCTGGACTAAAACCAAGGTAAGGAGCAGAGCTACAACTAATCCTCTATTTGTGCAACTCTATTACACAATATGACAGATTTATGGTTTTGTCAAACAGGAAATCATAAACGTTGGGAGATGACGCTAATAAAGCAACCAAATAGGGTTGGGCTCTCACAAGTGAGAGTAATACGCTACTGTAGTTAATAAAGTCAGATTGAATAAAAGGTGGATTATGTAAACACAGTTTAACTTGGGGAATTTAACCTTAACATCGGCGTAGGATATTCTAATATTTCACAGTTTACATTATTCTGATTTCTTCTGTGAGATCTGAATCTTCCTACTGACAGCTCTTAACAAAAAAACAAATTGCTGACTAGATAATTATGCTGAGATGCCTGTTCATATTAGAACTGATTTGTGTCATTTCTTGGTAAAATACACCCCAAAATACATATTTTGACAATTTTCCTCTGGTGTGTGTGTGTGTGTGTATATATATATATATATTATAGTGTG